CCCAATAGAGACCTATAACACACTAATTCATGCCAATTACCTACAAGGTTATCTTGCAAATTAAAACAACTCCATCTTCAAGAATGGCTAATTTTAGGTTTTTGTTATGCTTGATTCTTATTATCTTGCTTTCATGTCCTCCCTCCGAAAGTCGTCCGCTCGGGAAATCTTCGCAGAGGAGAGGGGAGACGATAACGATGATGGAGACCGCCCGAGAAATTATTAAGGAAAGATTAAGACATGCAATCAAGTATAATGTGAAACGGTTAAGTCCCGGAGGACCTGACCCTAAACATCATTAGGGTACGTAGTTTTGTAATTTTCAAAGAAAGGAGGGACAAAAGCAGATATGAGGCTAAAGAGTCTATGAGCTCTCTGTTCCATTTTACTTGACACGTTTTTTTCAATGTGTTCTAGATCAGAAGAGTGACGAGTTTATGTATTTGGTACCTAGCTATAATTAACCTTAAACTTTTCATTTGCTCTTTAATGTCACACTTTTACCGTCATTGAAATATGTCATGACATGTATAAGATCATAAGTTTTACGTATACTTAGTATACGTGCCAAAGTTCTCTCTTCCTTTCTTAAACTCTCCATCCAATAAACATTGTCATATAAAGTATGATAATGTCCTAAGTGCAACGGTTCCGTAGCAAAAATTTTAATGTTAAATTCACTAAATATACGTAAATTTTGAATTCGCTTCTGAACGGAACTGATGCTACGCACCTATATATGGCCCTCGTAATGCTTTGTAATTTTAAATTTTAAATGAACAAGTTGTTGTACGATCCCTTCCCTTAAATATAATTCGTATATATAGTGATTGTGATAGTTTTTTTTTTTAGTTTTTTTTATGTGATTGAGTTGTAACCTTTTGCTTTATGGATTAATATTCTTAAAGTACAAAAAGAGAAGTATATTCCTATTTTTATAAATATTGACGCAAGTGTCCTTTCAATATATATATATAGAGAGAGATTCCATTATGTTTTTTTTTTTTTAAAGAGTTTAAAGTATGTTGAAGGATAATACACAAGGAATATAGTGGATAAGCTAAGTACATATTTATCTGAACCCAATAAATTTAATTTAATATTCTATATACATATTAAAAAATTTACTAAATATATAAATACTACAAATAAGAAATTTCAAACTCAATAAATTAGATGCGAGATGTTATAAAATACTGAATTCAAACTTATAATGTTAAAATTTCAAATTCGCCCATTACCTAATTTATAAAACATCGTCTAGCAAAGACAAAATCATCAATTAATGGAATATGAGAGAGAAAATTTATATATATAATATAAAATGAATTTCATAGTACAAATACATAGAAAGTTTGATTAAAGTTATTAGATTTTATCGAATTTCAAATCATAAATTTGTGTTGACATTATTTCACAATGTAACTTTGTTAACGACAAGAGAAAATATGAGATACGTGCTAACTGCAAAGTGTAAATGAACCAAATATCAAAATTCAACAATTTTGAAATAGTGACGGAATCAGAATTTCATAAATATTTTTTTTTTTATAAAGGAATGTTAGTTGACATCCCTTAAGTACATGTGGCCTCGCCATTGCTTCGAATAGTAAAGGAGCATATTCGAATCTTTTTTTGTTACACTCTTCATTCTAATGTATATGGCATCATTTATATATATATATATATATATACTCCCTCCGTTTCACAAAGAATGACCGGGTTTGACTTGGCACGGAGTTTAAGTAAATAAAGAAGACTTTTGAATCTTGTGGTCCTAAATTAAAGTTATGTCAAATGTACAAAATTGCCCTTAATCTTATGGTCTTAAACATGTCACGTGGAAAGCAAAAAGTAAAATGTTACCAAAAAAGGAAAGAGGTCATTCTTTTTTAAACTGACTAAAAAGGAAAGGAGGTCATTCTTTGTGAAACGGAGGAAGTATATAACTTGACAAAAAGTTTAAAAAATAAAATATTTAAATTTTGTAATTTAAAACAAACTTTAGTCTTTTGTGTGACTATAAATTATTTTATTAAGAATAAATAAAAATAATAATTAAAATTAAATTATTTTTAATTATAAAAAAGTGATATTCATTTTCGAATAGATTAAAAAATTGTGTCACATAATGTGATCTTCAATTTTAATTTTTGCTCCTTTTTTCCCTTTGTGTTTGTTGTGGTGCTTTGCATGCATGCAACAAAAAGGGACCCACATTTGTTTGTCTTGTCGAACGATTTATTATAGATCAGTTTTTATTTGTATGTCTCTTGTTTTTTTAAAAAAACTCACACATTTTAGTCAATATTGTTGAAAATGATCATCAATTTTCTTTAGATTTGCATTTAAAGTTTAAATCTTAATTAAAATATTCTTATTTTTCTTAAAAAAATATTATCTTTCTTGATTATATTTTTCTTTCCCATTTCTACAAATCATTCACATTTAAGTTACAAAATCTTTTTTTGTAATTAACGGGGAGTATTCATTGTGCCCATATATTTGCCAAACTTTGACTCTAAAACATGCAAGATTTCATGTAATCAATTCATTAAAATATATTTTCCCTAGATTTTCTATTAATATATATAGTCCGAGCTTTTTATAATTCATTATTTATAATAACATTTTATTGGAAACAACTTTTAATTTATATTATATTCTTTATAACAATATTTAATTACTATATATAGAATTAAAAGATTATTCAGGAAAATGATGCTATTATAAAACAATCACTATAACGATCAAATTTCCTTTAGAATCAATTTTTAATCATATGTTATTATATTACTATATTTTCTATAATAACATTCCGTTATATAAAATAAAAAATATCTAGACAAACGAAATTTTTGGTGAGTGATTTTTTTTATAATTCATTATTTATAATAACATTTTATTGGAATCGATTTTTAATTTTATATTATATTCTTTATAACAATATTTTACTATACATAGAATTAAAAAATTATTCAGGCATTTGATGCTTTTATAAAACAGTCACTATAACGATCAAATTTCCTTTAGAATCAACTTTTAATCATATGTTATTATATGACTATGTTTTCTATAATAACAATTCGTTATATTAAATAAAAAATATCTAGACAAACGAAATTCTTGGTGAGAGATTTTACGAGGAATGTTCAGTGTTCCCTTATAAATAGCCAATCTTGACTTCATGACTTGCAAGATTTCATGTAATCAATTGATTGAAATTCAAAAAAATAAAAAATCCCCTAAACCTTAGATTTTCTATAATTCCTCTTAAATTTTCCAATATTTGGGGATTTTCCAAAAAAAATAAATAGTATTTTCTGTATCTTAATAGAATCATAGTCTTAGTGGTAGATATATTTTGTTTATATATATATGGTCTTTTAACACTTTTTTATAATAGTCATTTCTTGCAACAATTTTTTACTATAATAGTAAAATTCTTTTTTGAATCAATTTTTAATATATATTCTCTATAAAAATATTTCGCTATAGCAATTAAAAAGTTTCTCGACAAATTAACTGCTTGTTACAGAAAGATCATTACTTTCCCTTGCCATCAACTTTTAAATCTCATGTAATTATATATTTTCTAGGGATAAGAGTCTGAAAAATATCTCAATTTTGGTCAGATTTGTTGTTGCGATACTAAATTTTCATGAGGACCTAGTACCTCCCTAGACTATTTAATATTGTATTTTAAACATATATATTTGCCCATGTCGACATAAAAAATATGCAAAATTATAAATAGTAATGTGTCCACGTGGACACATACATACCTTTAAAATACACTATTAAATAGTTCAGGGGGTAAAAAATACGGTATTAAATAGTCTAGGAAGGTAATAGGTCCTGGTGAAAGTTTAGTATCGCAACAGCAAATCCGACCAAAGTTGGAGTATTTTTCAGACCCTTATCCCTATTTTCTATAATAGTATTTTATTATAACAATCAAAAAATATTCTCATATAATTAAATACCCAATCTTGACTTGCTTGATTTCATGTAAACAATTGATTGAAATTCAATTATTATTATTTTCCCCTAAAACCATAGATTTTCTCTAATTCCTCTTAAATTTTCCATTTGGAGTTTTACCAAAAAATATTCTCATATAAGAATGATAGTCTATGTGCTGGATGGATTTTCTTTCCATATATAGATACCCTTTTGGCTGTTACGTAAAATAATCATACTCCCTATGTTTTAATTTATTTTGACACAGATAAATAAGATTTTTGAATCTTATAATTTTAAATTAAAAATACTTAAAATATACTAAATGTCTTTTAATATTATTGTCTTACACATATTACTTGAAAAATTATAATTAAAGAATTACCAAAAACTGGAAAGATACATAGAATATACTAAATGTCTTTTAATAGTGTTGTCTTACACATACTAAAAAGGAAATAACACAAACAAATTAAAAAGAAGTATTATAAATTCTCATCATTCTGAAAAAGATGAATCTTTAAATATCCAATCTTGACTTCATGACCTGCTAGATTTGATATAATCAATTGATTGAAATTCAATTCCCCCCCCCCCCCCCCCCCCCCCTAAAACCTTAAATTTTCCATTTGGGGTTTTACCAAAAAAAAAAAAACTCAGATTTTTCTGTATCTTTGTAAAAATCATAATATTTTGTGATGGATGGATTTTCTTTCCATATATAGCTACCCTTTTAGCTTTAATATAAATTTTGCTCAACATTTGATGTTCAAGAACAAAAAATGGCTAATATTAGAGCATCAAAAAAGATGAATGAGAAAAAAAAAATCCCACAAAGAGGACTTGGTGTTGCTCAACTTGAGAGGATTAGATTAGAGGAGCAACATAAAAAAGATTCAATTTTTCAAACAATTCAATGCCCCAAATCTATACCAACATCATCAAGAATTGATTTTTCTTCAAAAGATTGTGTCTTTACACCAAATCAATCAACCCCTTTTCTTGAAAATTGCTCTAACTTGTGGAGTGGTGATCAGTATAGTCAAAAAGTTGATCATCATGGTGTAGTTTTTGGGCATAATTTGAACTTTCCTACTGTCCTGCAACAAAGATGTCAACAGTATCAGAAAACTTCTACTTCTACATCAATTGTAAGTCAGCTTCGTTGAGTTTTTAAGTATTCCTCCGTATTTAACCAGAAGGGAGCCTTGGCGTAACATAAGTTTATTTGTCATGTGACCTGGAGGTCACATGTTCGAGATGTGAAAACAATCTCTTGCAGAAATGCAGGGTAAGATTGTGTATAATAGACTCTTATATGTGACCTGGAGGTCATAAATTCAAAATGTGGAAACAATCTCTTGCAGAAATGCAGGGTAAAATTATGTATAATAGACCCTTGTATGTGACCTGGAGGTCACAGATTCGAGATGTGGAAACAATCTCTTGCAGAAATGCAAGATAAGATTGTGTATAATAGACCCTTGTATGTGACCTGGAGGTCACAAATTCGAGATGTGGAAACAATCTCTTGCAGAAATACAAGGTAAGATTGTGTATAATAGACCCTTGTGTTCTGGTCCTTTTAAGGACCTGCATATAGCGAAAACTTAGTGCACCGGACACCCCTTCATATATACTTAACGAGGGGTCTCGGGTTAGATTCGTGGCTGCTTGTGTTTGAATTGCTGAGGAAAATTGCTTTTTTTGTGGAAATTGTAGGTGAATATCTCATCAGGGATTTCATCATCATCATCATCTGCACAAAGTTTTCAGATGGAACCCCCTTCAAACCAAAGTTATTATGGCTGTAAATGTTTACCTCATTTGCCTGAAGAAGTTGAGGTACTTCTATTAGTTTGCTTGATAAAAATGAATAAATCCCCTCAGTTGCCATAAACTAATACTCCCTCCGTCTCAATTTATTTGTCTTGCGTACTATTTGTATGCTTGATCCCCTAGTTCCAAGATAATGGCCATAAAGAGTATCTTATGTAGCTAGAATAACAAAACAAAAAAAACAGTATTATGTGTATGCTCATAAATTCGATGTCTATTTTTCTGAATAGCTATATTTTGGTTTGTTGGTGATGTAATATAGATGGCGAGCGTGAAGAGGCCCTATCCGTTCTCTCCAGAATACCCGCCTGTCCCTTCGTTTCAATGCAAAAAGTGTTGTGTTTCCCCTGTATCCAGATCACGTGAATCCGCCTCCAGCAGCAACGAGTGCTCAATCAATGTAGAAGAGGGAAATGTGTTTAAAAGGTTCTATATCTTACCTGAAAATCGATTAATCTTAATACTCGTGAGCCTGATAATTAGTCATTTGGATTTTTTACAGAGAAGTTGTGTCAAAGTCGAGAGCTTTGTCAGAGTCCGAACCATCGATTTCACTAAGAGAAACTAAAGCTCTGAATGGAGATTTTCTCAGATTAGCTCCTCCAGCAGCAGCTTTGCCACATTTAGGAGCAGTAAATCGGTGCTCTTTAACTGATTCAGCCCCACAATGCCTTCAGCTATTCGACTATGCTCCCTCTCGGGTGAGACTAAAAGGACTTAAGCATTTATATTCTTGTTCATATACTCTGCTTTTTGAACTCGGTTTCACTACCTTCCGAACGTGTTTAATCTACAGGTTGCTGCTGCAGAGCATACCCCACCTTCAGGACTAAGCATATCAGTTCAACAACCCATCCTCGGATTCTTCCCATCTGCAAAGACGCAGATAGGTCAAGAAGGAACTCGTGGAAGTGACTTTCATACTGAAGTAGGAGGAAATGTTGATTTGGAACTGAAGCTATAGAAGTTAGTCCATGCCATATTTTTGTGATGTCCTGGTGCGTAAGGCTTGCGTTAGAGGTGTGTCTGTGGGGCTTTAATTCTTTTACATGATAGAGAGCGTTGCTTCGAGTGATTGTCCTGCCATTTATAGGGGTAGTTTGTAGATAATTTTATATACTTGTTGGTGCATGAAAACATTGTCAAATGTGAATCACAGAAGAGAGGTTTTCATCTAGCCTCGAGGCTCCGCTTTTTAGTTGAGTTTTTACATTTTTTCAGTTGTAATAATCAACTATTTTTGACAAAATATGGAGATTTGGGTTCTTCTTGATCTTGTTAGGTTCATGTACTGAGGCTGTGTTGCAAATTTTGGACCTAAATGTTTGTCGTGAATTGTGTGATCATCTCATCTAAAAGTAAAAGTCGTTAGAGAAACACACTTTTAATTATTTAACTATGTCTGCAATACACGGGGAATCTTATCGCTCTGGAGAAACTCCCTACGCTCTTAATGAGAGGTTCAGCTAGTAGTCCTAATATTTCTATTCCAATTACCAGAAACAGTATGGCCTTTATCCATGCAATTGCAGATCTCTCAGTCTCCTTCTGCAGAAGCTTTTCCATCAATTCCCAATTCTTCTGCATATCACAAATCATTTCATTATACAGTTAGACCTCTCTATAACGGCCAAGGTTTTTGGGAATTGATTTTTCATGTTAGGTTATATTATGGCATAATACGCAGACCCAACACTCAAACATGGCCTTAGTTGGCAAGCAAGCATTCCAACTTTGAGAGTGCACATCTAGACACCTCAAACTTGGTCTGAATTTGCAACTAAACACTCCAACTCATCCACATTGTGTCTCATGGACACTAAACACTTACATTATGCGTAAATTTTGGAGGTGTCTAGATGATAATTTTGTCCTCCAACTGATACAATGGAGACGAGATGAGGTTTTTAGGTGTGCATATTTAAAGAGGACAAGTTTGAGTGTTTGTTTATGTTTTATGCCTTATATCATTACATGTTCTCCATAACAACATTTCACTACAACAGCCAAAAAATGTCGCACATATATAGGACGCTGTTTTAGAGATGTTTGACTGTATATGTTCTTATACTGATCATTCATAGATTATAGGACATATTCATGGATTATAGACTTTGAAGCAACATACATTCATCTTTTTTCTTACTTGGTAGATATCATCTTTGGACTCGGTGATAAATGAGAATGATGTCCTACATCGTGTAGACACTGGGAAAATCCGGTAACAAATTCCTCCACACTGATCATCTCGTCTCCACTCACATCAAATTGTTTGATGATTCTGTCTATCTTTTCATCAGCATCCAAAGGTGCAGGACCAAATTTGATATTTCATATTAGTTCTTTCAGTTCAGTACGTGAAATGACATTATCTTTGTTGTGATCAATGCTTTCGAATAACCTGTAATGCAGCAATTAAAATTACTCTAAATATTTACAATCTTCATATGCCATTTTTCAGCCTACTGATAATCTATGTTTCTTGGTCTCTCCAAAAATGTTGTTGCACCCGTGTCGGATCTTTCAAAATGCACTACTTTTGGACGATCCGCCATGCACCTGACATAATTTTTCGAAGAGTCCGAGCAACATAGTTGATCATTAAAGCAGTTACTCACTTTTTAATTGCAGAAATATTTGGTTTCCCATCTTCTGTGTACAGAGATCCACTGCAGTGTTTTCGACATGTTGAAAAATATCTGAGAAAATATGTTTCATCATTTCGTGTTCTTCCCTTTTCTTTTTGAGCCAAGGCTGCAGAATCTGCATAATCCAAAGTGGAATTTACTACTCTTTGTATATCTTATCGACTTTTAAAAAGGGTAGCTTGGTGCACGAAGCATTCCGTGTTAACATAAGGTCCAGGTAAGGGCCGCACCCCAAGGGGGTGTGATGTAGACAGCTACCTACCCTGACACAAGCATCAGTGGTTGCTTTCACGGCTCGAACTCGTGATCTATATGCTATGATGCTCAGACTCTCCAAAAAGGATCACACATCGTGTCAGATCCTCCAAAAATGCGCTATTTTGGAGGATCTGACACGCAACAATCGACATTAAAAGTCCGAGCAACATAGAATACAGTTCATTGAAGGAGAATTCTACCCTTCCCTCAAGGCTCCACTTCTAGTTAGGAAAGTATATCTTTCAAGGATCTTATGGAATGGTATCTTTTACCCATTGCATCCTTTGTTTCATCTATCCATCTTGTGAAACCTTTGACAAATTCATCCATATTGATCATTCCATCATCATCCAGATCAAATTCTTCTATTACCTCATCCGTTTTGTAATCCTTGTCCCAATATAACTTTCTTGATCTTATTTTCATGAAAAGTTGTTTTCGCTCAGGTACTGACACAAACTTATCTCTGTCCTGATCAGCATCTCAAATAGACTGCATCACGTCGATAAGAACATGTTTACATATTGCATATTATGTACTGAAATTCTCACCCATGTTGCTTGGACACTCAAAATGTTGCCACATCTGTGATGGTCCTCCCAAAATGCACTATTTTTGAAGGATCCAAGCAATATAGGTAATTCCCACTATGAGATTCATGAGCAAAAAATAGAATTAAAAAACATATTACTTTGATATAGGAGGTAGATTAGGCGAACCGTCTTCTCGGAGGAGTTTCCCTATGGTATGTTCCTGCACATGTTTTAGTATATCTGCTACAAAATGTTCATGCTTTATATATTCTAGCCTCCTCTTCTGAATCCATGGCTGGAATATCTGTAGAATTACTTGTGGTTTTCAGAAGGCTTGCAGTTTTAACCTATTAAGATCACAACGATAGGGGCACGCAAGAAGATTCGTTTGGAAATTACATTGTATATATAATGTCGAAATTACTTTTTTAATGTATATAAAGTAGACATTGAATTCTTTTGGCTTCTTCATGTGTACACTCCGACTTCACCTCAACTGGCAAGTAAGTACTCCAACTTTGGAAGTGCACATTTAGACACTTCAACTTGGTCTCAACTAGCAACTAAACACTCCAACTCGTTCACATTGTATCTTGTAAATACACGACGGTGGTGTGGCACAAAATTTTTGGAGGTGTCTAGTTGATCATTTTGTAAGTTGGAATGTTTAACTGACACAGTGGAGACGAGTTGAGGGGTCTAGATGTGCATACTCAAAGTTGGAGTGCTTACTAGCCAGCTGAGGCCAAGTTTGAGTGTTTGTTTAAGTATTATGCCCTTCTTTATAATTTGAATTCCGTTAGTGAAATGCACCGATATAAGGATTTTGAATTACATGGTAAAAAAAGGTTAAGACAGTAGGAGTAGAATGGAAACCATAAGGCATAGTATGGGACTACAGATTATGAATGGAATCACTGATGGAACCATTCCTTTGTAATATTCATAAATTAAAGATATGTAGAATGTATTAAAAATATCTTTTGATCTTCTTATCTTAAACATTTTAGGTGGAAAACAGAAATTAAAGAATTACCAAAAATGAAATGAGACATTTAAAAAAAAAAAACAGACTAAAAAGGAATGTAAGTAATAGAAACAAATTGAAACGGAATGAGTATAAATTTCTCATCATTTGATGGCCAAGAACTTAAAATGGCTAATATTATAAAAATTTCAAAAAAAGATGAATCTTTAAATATCCAATCTTGACTTCATGACCTACAAGATTTGATGTAATCAATTGATTGAAATTCAATTTTTTTCCATTTGAGGTTTTACCAAAAAAGCTCAGATTTTTCTGTATGTGCTAGATGGATTTTCTTTCCATATATAGATACCCCTTTGGCTTTACTATAAATTTTGCTTAACATTTGTTGGTCAACAACAAAAAATGGCTAATATTAGAGCATCAAAAAAGATGAATGAGAAAAAAAAAGTACCACAAAGAGGACTTGGTATTGCTCAACTTGAGAGGATTAGATTAGAGGAACAACATAAAAAAGATTCAATTTTTCAAACAATTCAATGCCCCGAATTCATACCAACATCATCAAGAATTGATTTTTCTTCAAAAGATTGTGTCTTTACCCCAAATCAAACTGCCCCATTTCTTGAAAATTCCTCTAAATTGTGGAGTGGTGAGTATAGTCAAGGTGTGAATCAAAAAGTTGATCATCATGCAGTTGTTGTTTTTGGGCATAATTTGAACTCTCCCAGTGTGCTGCAACAAAGATGTCAAAAGTATCAGAAAATTAGTTCTACATCAATTGTAAGTCAGCTTCATTGAGTTTTAAGTATTCCTTCATGATATTTAACCAGAAGGGGAGCCTTGGCGTAATGTAAAGTTGCTTAGATGTGGAAACACCCTATTGCAGAAATGCAGGGTAAGGTTGTGTACAATAGACCCTTGTGGTCCACCTCTTTTCGGGATCCATACATCACGTAAATAAACATTTATAGATCTCTCTCTCTCTCTCTCTCTCTCTCTCTCTCTCTCTCTCTCTATATATATATATATATATATATTGGGGTGTTATTTGTTGTTGCTACCTGTTCTCTTTTTAATTATTTTCAACATGGCTTCTTCGTTATTGTAATTGCATTAGATACTTGATTTTGTATATGTCTACTCGAGCTGAGGGTCTATCGAAAACAACCTCTCTACCTTTACAAGGTAGGAATAAGGTTGCGTACACATCAAGACCTCACTTGTAGAATTATACTGGATATGTTGTTGTTGTTGTTATATATGTATTTGGTGTTAACATGTGTATAGATTTGATGTCTATTTTTCTGAATAGCCATATGTTGGTTTGTTGGTGATGTAATATAGATAGCTGGCATGAAGAGGCACTATCCGTTCGAAATTGTGTCAAAGTCAAGAACTTTGTCTGAGTCGAAACCATCGAATTCAGTGACAGAAACTAAAGCTCTCAATGGAGATTTTCTCAGCTTAGCTCCTCCAGCAGCAGCTTCGCCACATTTAGAAGCAGTAACTCAATGTTCTTTAACTAATTCAGCCC